CGTGTGCTCTTCCGATCTGAGATATTGGTTTCTGAAAATCGACAAAATTTGCAGTTTTTAAAGTGCTCCCCTAATTTTTTTGCGTAGTCTATTATATTATTTTTTTCAATGCAATGTTTTTATTAATTGTTAAAAGAAGATAATAATTCTTTTATATAATTTCAGCAATATTATAAATAATTAATCTAGAAAATTCAACATAGATTCAACATTGCAGCAATATTAACAATCAATATAGAAAATTCAACATATAGATTCAACGTTGCAGCAACATTAATATAATCAATATAGAAAATTCAACATAGATTCGTTGAAAAAACATTTCCACTACACATTCAACATTGCAACGTCTCAGCAACGTTCTTTCAACGTTCTGTGCTGTATGGGACAGTCAAAGGAATTAAGAATGAAGCAAATAACGAAAGCGCTGACTCATATAGTAGTAGTGAGAAGGAAGAGGAAAGGCCGAAATTTAAGACAAAGCGAGCCGTGCGCGAGCATCAAGTGACGCAAGGTCGGACGACGCCGCGTCAATGATCTCTTACATCTAATTACCTATTCAGAAGGCCAAAGAAGAAAAAATAAATTTACTATTTGATAGAGGAGCAACGTTGATTCTGATCAAAGTAGAAAGCTTAAAGGGAGACATGCTAATGATGACCGAATGGCTCTAAAGGGAGTAACCCCGGACACCAAGTGCACACGCTCGGAAAGATATAAGCAACGGCAATCTTAGGAGGCCAGGAATTAACCCACACACTGTATGTTGTGAAAGACGATTTTCCCACTGAGCATGAAGGAATCTTAGGAATAGATTTCCTACTAAAACATGTTGTCAAGTATGACCTGGAGAAGAGGCAGATAAGCGATACCGTGTTAAAACTGCAGCCTGAGAATTCAATCTGGAAATACGACAAGAATTCGAAGTATGACAAAACGAAAATAAAAGCAAAGATCAAAAACGTGACAGTATAGACGTGATAAAACACAAGGAACCTAAATCAGGGGGGTTCATAGGATGTTGCATAGTACGATCGACAGACGACCGTTGCGAGCAGGAATTAAGGGTAATAAACCGATTTGCAAAGAAAAACGCACAACAAACGAAAAAACAAGATAACAAAAATGCAAAAGGGAAAACTCTCAAGTAGGTGACAAAGCCCTACTGTTCGGCAAGACGTTGAGGAGAGGTCGTTCGAAGAAATTGAAGTCAAAATAGATCGGTCTCTTACGTTATTTTAGAAAGACATAACAATGCGAACTACACAGTTAAAATAAGGAAAAAAATTGATACATGTTCACGCGAACCGATTAAAGCCGTTCATTGAGAATTGACTATAAAGCCAAACAGAGCTAGAAAGCCTTAAAGATAGGATAAATAAATAGCGTTAGCAAGTAAGTATTGATTGATAAAAGAGATACTTATGTTAAGGAGAATATGGCAGAGGACTCACTACCCTTCGCCCCATATCACCAGAGTTGTTTCACAAATATGCATTACATTCTATAAGTGGCGGCATAGTCATTGTAATCAGCCTAAGTATAGCGAGTAAAATTATTTATGTAACAGTAAAAGATGTAAAAGTTCGACCACGGGAAAAACGTGTAGAAACGTGTAGAAATAACGACACGAGGTTACACTAGCAAGTAAGAAACGATTGTAAACCATATTCAAGAGCGCAAAATGTAACTAAATAATAAAAGAAAATCCGAATCCCTCATTTTCTTTTCCAAGGGGGGAAGAATGTCACGAGGCCGTATA